CAGTCAGATCAGAAATGAAAAAAATCTTTGTTGTTTCCCCATTTTATATATACTCTGTGGTGTATCTATTTTTTAAAAGACATTAACTCTGTGCATTCGTGGTCTTCTTAGGTGTATGATGCATCATCGTAGGACTAGGCATGATATAACCCACTGAGGAACTGACACATACCATCCAATATTCTCGATTAGAATCGTGTAAAGCTAACATGACCACACTGGTGACGATGAGAGATACACAGATCAATAATTGTGCGAAATAAACGATTTCTTCTCGAGGAACATTCTCTCCACAAAATTTCCAATGAGGAGTTATTGGATGAGATCCGTTTGGGGAATCCATGAATCGAAACTAGGGGGATATCCTTTCCACCGAACTTTGACTTCTTGAATGATTTTTTTCCCTACGCGTCGCTTTTTATACCCCAAGATTTCCTCCACTTCGTACAGGTCGTCTTTTTTAATGATCTTTTGTAATTCTTTCTCGTAAAAAGTCCCTTCTAATTCCTCTCCGTTATAATCTTGCACTCTATACACGTAAGGATACCTTCCAGGAACTCTTTTTGAAATGGTAAACAGTTCTGTGGTCCAGTTAGGTAAATATCCTTTTTCAAATGTGCGCTTGGCTTTACTGATGCGTACCCGATCTCCTTCTTTAAACTGAGGTTTAGGAAACTATTTCCGATTGGATTTCCCATATAAAGTTTTCCAGACTTTTAACACATTAGAAGCATTCACTTGAACTGGTGTTCTTTGGATACTGCGATGATAAGTGTGATTGTAAGCATACACTAAATCCGGTAAGATCTCTAAATACCGTCTGGTTTTATGACGGGTGAAATAACGCCACATGCGTGCTTTGAGAGTACGCTGAAATCGTTCCACGATACTGGCTTTGGTGTCCGTATTACGAGTGGTAAAAAAATGAATGGATTTAAAAGCTTGCAAGAATTCTCGATTGGTAAATTCTTTTCCTTGATCCGATTGAATGCGGACGGGACGTCGACCGTCTTGTTGAAAAATCTCTCGTAATCCTCGAATCATTTCCTTTCCCGTTTTCTGTTTTAAAGGCACCACCCAGGCATATTTAGATAAGACGTCAATGGCACACAATAAAAACGTATATCCGTCATTGTGTTTCTTTAAACTGGACACATCTGCTAAATCTAATTGCCATTGTTCGTCTATATCCGTCACTCTAGTCTGTTGTCTCCGGAATTTTCTTTGAATGGGTTTATGTAAGGTATACGTATCTTGCTCTTTTAACCATTCTCGAATCTTTTTCAAGGAAATCTTATGTCCCAGACTTCTGACCTGACGATACAAAGCTTGTAGTCCTGCGTACCCTCTTTTAGGATCATAATAAATCTCTTTTAAAATGTCTTCCACTGGTTTCTTTTTCATATCTTAGGTAATGAAAGCCAATTTTCGTCGATCTGTTCTAATCTCTTTTTCGGTAAACTTGGACTGAATTTAGATTTTTTGATGGCCTTCGCTAAATTTAACAGAGGTCTAGGAGTGGATTTTTTTATTCCTCTATCTCCTACAGGTCTACTAATAGGGGTCAAAAATGAAGAAGAAGCATCTTTAAATCCACTATCGCCCTCGTCCTCACTATCACTGAAGATACTTTTAGGAGTACTGATTTTTCCAGGTCTCTGCATGGCTTTTATAAGGTTCCATTGCTCACGTATTCCAGAGGAGTACGCGTCTCTTTTAAAGCTTGAGCAAATTCATCTAATCCTTTAGGAAGGGGATGGTTTTTACGAGAACGAGATCTCATACTATCAGCCATTAAATCCACAATGTTAGAATCGGGAACTTTTTGACCTCGATAACTAATTTCACCTTCCTTATTCCAACTCAACACCTTGGTTTTCTTTAAATGATTTAATAATAATCCAGCTTTTCTTCTCATGTTTTTATTCACTGTTTCAAGGATTTCATCTTCAATCTCAGCTGGGGCTGCTGGTGATGCTGCTGCTGCTGGGGCTGGAGCTGCTCCTGCTGCTGGAGCTGCTGAAATTTTAGGTTTAGAAATAGGTTCCTGTCTAGCTTGTTGTAAATAATTCCTATATCGATGAAGTTCCTGGCCATATATAGCGACTTTTTCTTCTGGGGTTAAATCTTCACGTCTTGTAATCTCGTCCAATTCCTGACCTAAACTGATGGTAGATTGAAATTCCGGAGGTTTGGGTAATTTTGCCTTGAGATCATTCAATAAGACTTCGGGAACTAACACCATTTTACGACTCATTTTTTTTTCTTCTTCTTGATGACTTTATAGACGGACTGACCGGCACCCAACAGTAAAGGTGCTGCTGAGATTAAAAGGGGTAAAATGTTTCCTCCTTTTTGTTGAAGTAATAAAGCTCGTCGTTTATGGACAGATTGAGGTTTGACCAGTCTCCTGAAGATGTGTTTCTTAGGAGCTAGTTTTCGTTTATGAGCCGAACTGAGAGATAACACTCCTTTTAATAGGTTGTACACGATCTCGCAGATTTTGAGAATACAATCTCCAGAACAATGTTTTAAAATACCCGTCTTTAATGGAGAGGAATAGTGAGGGTCAGATAACACTCTTAAAAGAGGCCAGTGAGGTTTTAATCGTGTAGAACAGCAAGTCCTTCTTTTCTTCTTCTTAGCCATCCTGGGGTTAAAATGAGGACATGTCCCAGGTTTCTCTCCTTTTTATACTCTCAAGGAGGAGGAGCATACATGTCGTGTTTGTCCTTCTCGTGTTTGTCTCTATTTTTCTGGGTGACGTAGATTTTGGAACAATATCGACATTTATATCTCATTCCTTTAGGAAGTGTAGGTGTAGAGGCGGTCAGAGGTTGAAAGCGTGCTATTTTAGGAGTGTGAATGGGTACTTTAATTCTAGGAGAGGGAATTCCCACATTGACTCGAGGAAACACTTCTAAATCGGTAGCTCTTTGACTGCCTATGGGGCCCATAGGACGATCCATTCTCATTTCAGCTTGTTTCTTTAATAACTCCCCAATAGTTTTTTGTCTTTGTTCCTTATAATACTGATTGATTTCGTTTGATTTCGTTTTTCAGACTTTCGGGCATGGCTTTTCGTTGAGCAGGAGTCTTGGGAGTCGTTTTTTTTTCTTTCTACCACCAGGGGCTTTTCTTTGAGTAGGTTTTCTCTTTTGAGGTTTTCTCTTCTTTCTGGTCTTTTGAGCTGCTCCTCCTACTCGCACCATCCAATCGGGAAACACTCTTTGTTTCTTATTATCGACTCTGACTACCACACTTTTCAAACGACGGACACGTCGTTTCTTAGGTGCATTCCATTTAAATAAATGACGAATGATGACTCTAGAAATCCGGCTCCTCTGCGTTTTAAAATGGCATTTTTTCTGTCTTGATCACTCGCCGACTTATCGGCTATGATGCTTAAATCTTGACGATGATTATTAATAAACTTTTGAGTCTGTTTATTGATGGGTAAGACCCCACGTATCAAATTTCGAGCTCCCATAGCAAAACAATTCAATAAGGCTTTACGCCCTAATTCGATTAAATGGGCTCGCTTGGCAGGATCTCGTTCCCGCTGTAAACGTCGTAACGTTTTCACTAATTTACTCTTGGCCGAGAGAGGTCGACCCATGACGACTGTATAATGATAAATGACAAGTGTAATGTTGGTACATTTTTATTTATACTCTTGTGGCATGTGTACAGTCAACCATTCAAACAATCGACTTCTCAATCTGTATTCGTCTGGGGTCTGTGGATTCAAGTCCACCAGGAGATACCCGTGAGGAACACTGGTGGCTTCTTGATAGGCCGACATCAAATGTGGTAAGGCTAACTGTCGACTTAAGACACTGATTTGAGATTTGTCTCTGGGATTTTTAAACAACACTAAATAATGAGCATTCAAACTAATGGTGCGATGCTGTGGTGCCCGATCAAATAAATTCTGAGTGATGTAAATCACACTGGTATTCCCATGATGCGCTTTACGGGTAAACCAATCCACGATCGATTCGATGGCTTTTCCTCCCATCATGTCGTCAAAAATGAGTAAGTGAGGAATAGTTAAATTGGCCACTAATTTCTCATCGTCTTCTGGAATATTTCGAATGAAGGAGACCCGATCTGTTAAAGAAGTGTAAGCAGGTTGCCATTCCCGATAACACCAGACAATTTTTTGTGGCATGGGGGTAATCCAATGTAAATTTTCCACCAATTTCTTGACAAATTCCGTTTTTCCCGATTTAGAAGGTCCTGCTACCACCATGGTAAATTCGTGTTTCAACTGAAAAGACGGGAGTGTCTCCTCAGGTTGCATGATGACAAATGAAGAGAAAAATAGGGTTTCAATCCTTTTTATTCATAGTCAACACAGAAATATACGCTGGGTTCTCTTCACATCGGCTCGACAGATGGGGCAATACCGGAAGGTGGGAGCACATAATGAACAGCAACATACGTGTCCGCAAGGGAGTAAAGCCATTTGTAATTCTCTCTCTAAACAAATGTGACATTTTCCTGTGGCCTGGATCTCTGTAGAGGTTTGGTCTAGTAGAGGTTTGATTTCAGGTGAAGGTTTGTATCCCGCCCGGAGTAAATGGTTAATGAATACATTCATCACCCACTCACGTCCTTCATAGGTATTGATGTAGGGACAATTAGGGTTCCAATAAGCATGTTCTACATAAGGATCGTCTGTAGGTTCCCAGAGGTTTAAAGTCATACCACAATGAAAACAGATGGTCTTATCACTCACTCCTCTGTAATAAAATCCGGCTTTGGCTAGGTCGGGTATTAATCCTTTTAAAGAATCGGGCCATCGATCATCAAAGGTAGCTTCTCTCTTTAAGAGCAGAGCATATTTAGGGTAAACAGGAAGGTAGTCTGGCTCCTTATCAACACCAGCCATGACTGAAGTGTTATATTATTCCCCCCCCCCCTTTTTATAACCCCTCATTTTTGGGGGTTTTCCCCATAAAATAACAACAACACTTAAAATACAGGGGTTTTTTTTAATAACCATAAGGTAAAGTGTTATAATCTTCCATCAATTGTCTCTTATCATAGACAATTCTATATTGTTTTTCTAAAGGTATTGTCTTGACTTCATGTTGACGAGTCCTCTGTATTTTGTAGGGATACGAGACTTGGATTTCGTCAATTTCTTTCTGAAGCATTTTTTCTAAAGTCTCTGGTGACACGATCTGAGAGGCCCGATAATTGAGAGTCAATCCTTTGACTTTACACATGGATTTTCCCTTGGCGGTGAGGTAAGCATAATTTTTGGGGCCTCCTGACATGAATTTGATAATGTGGTCCCCGTCTAATTCGTCTGTCCATTCTCTTAAACTGTTGCCAAGGGTAGGATTAAATTGTCCCTCCTCATGTTGGTATATGATACTGTCCGTGTCGAAATAAAGGACCCGATCTCCCAAAGGTTGTAAAGTCTCGTAGAGGTGTAATCGGGCATGGGCGGTAGTGAAACAGGCCAGCACCACGTTTCCGAAGGGACACTCTTCCACAAATTCCTGTTTCTCTTGATAATTGACCAGCATCATGTCCGATTCGGCCTGCTCTTTATTTTCTAAGAGTTCTATCCCTTTGATGTCAATGGTCGAATCTTGTAAGAGTTGCTGTAGTTCCTCTTCTTCGGTCAAGTATCGAGTTTTAGGTAATAACAGGCGTTGAGCGAATTTTCCCCACAAGCAATTTAAAAAGAGTTTGGCTATCGTTCTTAGCACAGGATTTTATTCTATACTTAACAGGTCCATCCTGATCCCTTCTCTGCCTAAGACTTTACGAATGTAATCTAGTTTCTGTTCCTCCGTCTGACAATCAGGTGGGAATCCAGAAGCTTCCTGTTTGATCTTTAAGAAGGTATCGATGTAAGATCTGAATAAATCTCGACTGCTTTGTGAAAAATGCCAAACTTCGTAAATCCGCTCTAAGGTATATCCCATGTCCAGGGCTTTATGTAATTCTGTAGTCACCCAGGTACCCGTAAGACTGCGTTCCTGGTCTGCGTGTTGACATCGATGTTTAGAGGTAGAGTCCTGTCGTTCCGCACACGTTCGACATAAGGGAAATAATAACTTGCCTCCCGTGCGATAAGGTAAAACGGGGTGATAGAGGCCTCGGGGTGGTAGGACCCGACAGTGAATGAGACCGAAATAAGTTCTCACGTCCTGGAATTGGTCTGTTATGATCTGAGGATGGCCTAGGGGGAAAAGTCTGTGTTTTAATACGTAAGGGTATAAGGAACAGACGTCCACGTATCTCATGTCCCCCTCCTCACAATATAATTTAGTGGCATTAGTCCGACCTCCGTACAGGGCGTCTCGGGGGTTCAAAGGATCTGGAATGTCCAGGTCTCGTACATAATTCTGTAGAGTTACCTCTCTTTGTACCTGTTGATCGAATTCGTGCTCCCAGATGCTACGGAGGGAGTACCCCATTTCCTCTAAAACAGAACTCCGTCTTAAAGTTTCCTCGTGTAATTGTTCATAGGTAAATTGGGTCCGGTGAGGATGACTTTCGGTCTGTAAATTCGGATAGCAGGTGGGGCATCCGTGCCAATAGCATCCGTAAAATTCGTAGACGGTGCGAGTGGCTTCCTGGTATCCGTCGACGATATAACTTCCGATCTTGACTTCTCCCCCGTTTCTAGCATGTTGGATGTGAGATCCGGTCTGGTGACTCATCCAGCTTAACCACCGACAGGCTTTGGCGGAATATCGACGCGCAGGCTGATACCCCAGGTTGGGAATGATGGCAATGGTCTCTTTGGGCATGAATCCTCGACGGTAAGCTAAATTGGCCGCACTGGCAAAAGTGATGGATTCCTGGAAGGGGTCTACATGGACCAAGCTCTTGAGGGTGGCTCTAAACTGAGCACAGCATCGTCGTAAAATATCGACGTCTGAAATACAATAGTCTAAAAATTCCTTCTGGAAGTCAAACACTTTTCCGGCTTGTTGTTCGTACCATTGATAAAAAGCCTGTCGTCCACTTATAGACATGTCGTCCGGATTGTAGTAAGCTGCCGGTGGATAAGGCCCCACGTAATTCTGGTTCTGTTCCGTATTAAAAAAGTGAGGGAAATACCCTTTCTTCAGTTCAGTGAATCCGAAAGCAGAGGGCATCTTGGACAGGGCAAAAGGTAAAAAATTATAGGAATCGATGAATTTCAGTCCGCAGATTTGCATGGATAAGATTTTACTGCCGTTCATGATGACGGTAGGTTTCAGGCAGGCGGAATGAACCAGGTAATTTAAAATGAACTGTCCGTCGTATCCTTTGAAATTGTGGGCGATGATGATGGCCTCGTCGTGTAATAAGGCGGAATTCTTATTTCCTGTAGTGGGTTGTAATAACCAGTCCATGAACTGCCTTAAGGTCTCTGGCCCTCGGAACACGTGTTGACGGGGTCCCATGTGTCGACAGTGAGGACAGGGATCTTCTATGGGTAAGTGACCGCAATGTTGACATACGCGGTGTGCCACACACAGGTTAGGGACGTGGATGCCGGTTTCCTGCGTACATTCGAAATCGAAATAGATGTTGAACTGTAAGGTCTCTTTGCCTTTCTTTTTCTTTTTCTCGGGCTTGAGTTGAACGTAGCACTGATGATCCGTGTCTACGGTTTTCTTACAGATCTTACATTGTTTCTGTCCTCAGCAATGATGATGAGGGAGTAATTTTTTAGGCATCCATTTCTGACAGTGCCTACATCGTCCCATTAAACTGCATACCGTGGTGGCCGTATTCATACTGTGAGGCTGTAGATGGTTTTCGTAGCAAGTCCTACTCTGAAAAAATCCCTGGCACTGGCTACATTGAATGCGGCTCCCGTCTGGAGGGCAGGGAGTGTTAGTTAAACAAAAGGAACATCGGTGAGGACACTGGGTACGATGGTGTTCAATATGACTGTAGCCCACGTCGCAATGATCACAGTAGTATTGATTGCCCGTCACACCAGGCATAGATATGATGGCATCGTAATGATGGTCGTCTAACAGGACATTCAAACAAGTTCCCTCTCCGTAGCCTTTGTAAAGGGTCTCTAAACTGAGTTTAGAGGAGGTGGACTTGAACTGGAATATTTTCAACCGATAGCGAGGGACTAACACCTGTTGTAATTTCCCCCATTCTTCGGGTCCACAAGGCCGATGGATATCACAGTCGGCTTGTTCCATGAGAGCTAGAGCTTCGTTTTTCTGGTCTAAATATTTGTAATCACCCTTCCGCATACGTATTCATCGCTTTTCCCATTCAATGAAACTCTCTGGATGTTCCGGTTTTTCACTGTATAACCGGGTGACTACGATGGCTCGAGCTAGACAAAATTTATCCCAGGGATTGTCGATCTGAACGATGGATTGTTTCCTCTTCTTAAATCTCTCCTTATTGACCATCAAATGTTTGGTTTTGTTTCCACCACTCCCTTCCGGATACTTCACCCGAAACATGTCGAATTCCATGGCCCCGTCTCCCAGTTTAAAATCTTTCTTGGATTGTTGCACGGCTTCTATTTTGTCTAAAATGACGTCCTCGTTTAAATGTTTACATTGAGTAAACTCGTACCAAATGTCGGAATCCAGAGAAGGATGGCGTATGTTCAGGCGTAGGTAATCGTTAGGATTACACTGCATTTGATATTTGACATTTTGCAGCATGTATCTAAATAATCGCCGAACAAAGCCTCTGTTTTCCTCCTCTGGAAATTCCTTAAAATTCACACTGTAGACATCTTCATGCGCTTTAAATTTTCTGGAATGCTTGGCTTGTTTCAGTCTCACTTGATAATATTGGGAAATGGCCTTTGGCTTCCGGGGTGGTGAATGGGCTGATGAGTGTGGTTCTTCATCCGACACAGTCCTTTGTTGTTCTTGTTGGACTTGGGCTCTCTGCATTCTATTTAATATTCTCGCATTTCTTTTTCTGAGCGCTAATTCTCTGTGTTTATTGTTGTAAATAATTCTTTCTAACTCTTTCGCCCGTCTTCTCCATCTCATCAGTTGCTGGGCATGTAACAGTTTTTTCATAGCAGAATCCATGTCGACAGCTGATGGAACTGACAAGAGAATGAGCTTCAAGTCAGAAACATGCAATACTTATACAGTGTATGACGTCATAATGGCTAGGTTTTTCCAGGTGAGTGCTGAGCGCGTGCAGGTTTTTCCAGATCTCACATCTCAGGAATTTCTAGATCTCAGAATGTGCTGAGCGCGTGTGGGTTTTTCCAGATCTCTGACCTTGACCCCGGGGGTGTACTGAGTTGACCCCCATCCCCCCCATGGCCCAAAAGTGCACTCAGTTGACCCCCCTAGCTAGGCGCCTTATACTACTTATGTACTTAGTAACTTTATTTAATACCCAGGAGCAGAGAAGAAGATTTTCAAAGAAATAATGCACTTTCACTATATGATCTATATAGCCCCACCCTGGGGCCATGAATTTCACAATTTTGGTAGAGGGCTCCATGCTTATTACAATGATGCCAACAGTTTGACTGCTTGATGTCAAGGAGTAAAGAAGAAGATTTTTAAAGATTGCATTATTTTTGGTGGTTTTAGCCCCACCCCTCAGGCCCCAGGGGGGCAGGGACTATGAAATTCACAATTTTTGTTTCCCTTCACCCGTAGATGCTATATACCAAATTTGGTTGAAATTGGTTTAGCGGTTCTAGAGAAGTTAACGCACGACGGACGACGACGGACGAAAACAGATAGCAATAGGTCACCTGAGTGACTCAGGTGACCTAAAAATGCCTGTCACATGTTTTTGCAGCACAGTTTAGGTTTATACAAGTACAGTATACAATTTAATTGCTGCAAAATAGAGATCATATATGCTTGTATATATTTATTTACAATCACATGTTGACTGAACAGTTAACTCTGTGTCAATCATAAATTGTTAACTAACGTTTCTCGTATGATTTTACACTATCATAATGCACAATCCACTATATGGGTCCAAGTTTGTTGAATAAATTTTCTATTCTATATTTTATTGCTTTAATTTTTAAAACAACAATTAGAAATCCTCAACCTAACTTTGTTTCGTTCAAATTTATTTATATATGGAACATGTTTTGTGTTTGGTCAGACAAAATATCTAATTTTAAAATATTTCATAGTCATCTGTGGTAGTTTGAGCTTCAAACCTGTGAAACAATATTTCTTTTGTTGGTAAGCTTCAGGAAATTAAAACCTGAGAGGGTTATCAAAGATTATCTCACATTTAAAAAAATATGATAAAACAAATTAAAAAAATCGAATTAACAACAGAGAAAAATAAAATGAAGACAGACTCTTTATCTTCAAATGTATATACAAACACATGTATTAGCGATCAGAACCCCCCCCCCCCCCAAAAAAAAAAAGAAGAAAAAAATCATGGATAAATAATTCTAATTCCTAATAAACCTCCTCCCCTTCTGAGTCCATTTCCAAAAATATTTTACTATAATTTTTTTTTTGAATTCTTGAGAGGAAAATTATACATGTAGGTATTGTAGGTCACAAAAAATCCATATATTGATTACTAGTATGTGCGAAGAATAATCCTTTAGACATTCGTAATAATTATACTTTATTAACAAAGATTTATTTTCCTAAAGCTGAAAGATTTTTGCTGAAAGGGGCCACAGAAAGATCCGCCCCTCCATAGTGCATATGGCACTCTAGACAGTGACGTCACAGAAATTCTTGAAACCGAGTTTATTATTAACTACCTCAAAATTTTGGTATGATTTAATGAGCAGTTGAATAAACACGTTTTTAAAAAGAGAGTACGCATATGAAATATCAATTATGGCAAGTCGTTAAAAGTCGGCAGTGTACGCTGATTTAGTCAGTGAATGACGTCACATGTCGGGTTTATGACGATTGAGTTCAAGTTAATCGAAAACGAAAGTAACAAGGATATGTACTATAAGGGTGTTTTGGGTTATTGGAAGTGATTACTCTTCATTAACACAGGACTGGAATTAAAGTTACGATTCACAAACATCTCGTTTATGCGGGAATTCGTCACGAGATTCAAGATGGAAAAGACTATGGACGCCATATTGGCGACAAGGTTCTAAGTTCCATAGGTATTGTAATAAAATTATAGTTTTCAATAGAATTCTGTATATTTTAAATACATACGTGTTACCTATAGGGAGAGCTTCGCTCTCACGGGCCCGTGAGAGGGCTCCGCCATCTATGACAGTTTCCATCGTGCATTTTATGGGATGCCTCGAATCACACTTGGTTATATTCATTATCTATATGTGAATGATTAAATATCTGCCGATTTACACTCGCTGTACAAAAATGCAGTTGTAACGGGAATCAAACCAGTTCTAAGCTTTGTGTATTTATTTAATTGACCATGGATTTCCATAGTACTTGGGATTGGAAAGTCTTATAAACTATTGAAGATACAAACCACACAATGAAATGTATACCCAGGTTCTTTAGTGATTCCTAGATTTAAATATGATCACCTTGTTTTGAAATGAAAAGATGTGTAAAGTTTTATAATTTATTATATCAAAGGTAAAAATGATTTTAGACTAGTTGATAATAAAATGACAAATATCTTTCCAAAAATATAACAACTGGAATTATCCAAAATAATTAAATGACAAGATATGTGAAAAATTATCTGAGAGGGATGTGACTTTTAACGAAGTTAGGAGCTTCCATACGGGTGTTGCTAAAACGCGGAACGGAAAACGGAAAATATGATTCCAAGTTAAATCACTTAAAATATAAAAACCATACCAGAAACAGTAAACAGCGTATAAAATTTTCATATTTAATCCTTAATTATTAAGATACGAGTTGATTTAGTCATGTTACATGTTATGGTAAAATATGGATGAGTGGGAAAACTTTATTGAAGATCACTCTGATCAATATGAACGACTAGTATTCGATATCCTTATGAGCCATATGAGCGAAAAATTCCATAATTTTCAATGCATATGTACCCATGTACCATAAGCGTGGATAAAGTACATCTCTGACCCCCTTCTCAACCCCACCCCCACGCTAAAATATAAATATCTCTATATTTTCTCGAAAATATGTAATTTCCCCATAATTCCATCTTTACGTTATTCTGCGCAATCAGTTTATGATGTTTGCACAATTTGGCCATATACAGCTGTACATGTATGCTAATTTTCTTAATATTCCCGTTTCAGGTCCCCGTGGATTGCATCAACACTCCTCTAGTTGTAATATACTTTTTTTAAATTGTATCCTTTATGCCAGTGATCGTTGTCTCTCTCTCTATATACTCTGTTTCTCTCCTCCTGTTTCAAAACAACATTCCCCCGTTCATAATAAAAAATGATGATTTTGTTTTTGGCGAATTCATAAACCATTTTTTTTTTTATTTCAGTTTTGTATGAGTGACAAATGAGACATTCTGATAGATAATTAGGATGTAAGTCTAATTAGTGTGTATTAAATTGACCATTGCATGTAAATGCCACATGTTTTGAGGGGGAAAAAATCATGAATAAATTACATTGTTAGGATAACTTTTAACATTAGATATGAACTACATGTATAAGATAAAGAATATTGCTTCCTATGTCTGAATTAAACTTGTACTTAGTAAAAACCTTGACATCAAATTTTCCGTTTTCCTTTCCGTTTCGCGTTTTAGCAACACCTCTTCCATACACCCAAGAACGTTGGCAAATACTAATAATAAACACGGGGATATCCTAGATGTATATATATCACTGAAATAAGTAATGGGCTATCTTATTCTACCCTGAACCGAAATACAACTTCTATAGTTATGCTACATTTTGAATGAAAGTTTACTGTTTACCAAGCCCTACATTATAAAGACAGAAGCGAACGCTAGGTTCTTGAGAAGCGAACCTTGCAGTTCGTGACCCCTAGCAGAGTGAAGTTAACTTTTCTGGGTAGCTTTATTTATAAGCTCCTTTTTTGTAAAAATAGACGTAATATAGGCATCAAAATTGGGGCTTAGCCCTCCAAACGTGTTTTGTTTTTTGTAGCCCCCCTTTAAATCTGCTTCCGACGCCTATGAAACAGATGTGTAAGACTCTAGTGGTATCTTTTCCAAGCTTACTGGGAGATATCGAGTCGGCAAGCATGCATACATATTTTCGTTACAGTTGTTTTGATTCAGTTTAAATTCATCAGCAGTGAAATAATCAAACATATTACCCACTCTAGCATTAAATTCATCCAACATACAAAGATATCAT